AAAAGGTCCGCTGAAGCGTGAGTTCCTACAACCAGAACTCACGGCAAAGAGCGAAACCACGCGTCCTATGCATCTCACGTCCTCCGATTGATCCCAATTTTCTCCTGCCGTTTACATGGGTTTGATCTCAAGCTCTCTCTCCGCCGATCGCGAGCCGCCGATAGCCACTTCTTTCCTCCGCATATGGATCATTACAAGACGCTAGGGTTGGGAAGGAACGCCACCAAAGGGGAGATCAAGGAGGCGTTCCGTCGATCCGCCCTCAAGTTCCACCCTGACAAGCACTCCCAGTCGTCCAAGGAGGTCAGGGAGGGAGCGTCCCTCATGTTCAAGCAGGCTTCCGAGGCCTACGAGGTCTTGATCGATGACCGCAAGCGCGCGGACTACGATCGGGTGTGGCGGGGCGGATACTCCGATCGCTGGAGCAGAGGAGCTTCTTCTTCTTCTTATTCGTACTCTTCACAGTACCATGAGGGCCGCCAATATAGTTACCGCAGACCACCGGCGAGAGATGGCGTGTTCGGGTTGGATTTAGAGTCGGTTTTCCGGCTCCTGACGAGGCGCTCTTTTCTCGTGAATATGGCTTTTGCGAGGTGATTCTTTCTGAAGTTTTATGAATCTTTCTTAAGACGAATCTTAACTAAATTTTTCATGGGATCAGAGCAATTGACATCACTTGAATTTGCTGTTAAACAGTGTGTTCTGGATCAAAATCAGACGAACCAGACTGGTTTAAATACTTGGCATAAAATTACCAGGATTCTTATTTTGAGTCACAAGTTTCTTCGTTGCCCCTTCATTCCACTGAAATTTGCTGTTAGAGTGAGAGAGGAAAAGAGGTGGCCAAAACAGAGGAGCAATTCTTTGGAAAACAACTGTTTTTTAGAAATAAAAAAAACCAAACAGTTTTATTACTCAATATAATGTTTTTCCTTTTTTTTTTTCTTTTTCTGGTGCTGTTGGGATACCATGGCTAGCTAGTGTTTACACAGCTTATCACATAGATCTGGGCCTCTCTAAGAGCTTATCACTGTAGATGGTGCAGTACCAGTTAGAAACCCTAATTACTTGAGTAACACCATGTTAGCATCATTTCCCACTAATTGTAGTATAAGCTAGAACCCTAATTTCTTGAGTAATGCCATGTCCCCATTGACCATTTAGACCTCTGGTGTGGTTCTGCACCCAACACCTTTTTTCGAAAAACCATATATTCTTTTGGAAATTATGACAACAAGCCTTGGTTAAAAAAAATGATACTCCTTTGCAATTTAGATGACCAGAGTTCGAGTCACGGAAACCTCTTTATTTGTCGAGGGAAGACTTTGCACATTGACCTTCAGATTCCTAAATTGGTGGAGTCCTGTGTATTGGGTTCATTATTTTTACAATTCTTTTGGAAATTATAATTGAAATCTAGTTCATACAGCCTTCCAAAGATGTAAGTCTACACTCTGATCACATAATATCTAGTCAGCAACATACATAAAATTCTTGACATATTCCAGCCAAGCTTGGAATGATTGCAATCTCTATGGATGTAACATACATAAAATTGTTGAGATATTCATCCAAACTTCCTGGATCTCTATACCAATCAAGCAAAGGTTATTGTCTAAATTTATGTTTGGAAATTTTGCAAAAATGCATTTTCTAATTCATCAATATCAAGGTAGACCAGCCTACAATCTAATGCAGTGAATGGGTACAAAACACCAAATTATTATGAGGTAAGGTGAGGTAAGGATTGTTTTCTGAAGATGTGCAATAGATATGATAAGAGCATGTGGATGTTGGTTAAATTAATCAAGGCCTGGTTGGTACAGTTTTTTTTCTTTTGTATGTGATACTGAATATATTTTTTATTAAGAAATGTTGCTACAATCAAATAATGTGATACTGAATATACCTGGATGTTGGTTACTTGTTTGGTCAGTTTTGATATGGGAAATCAAATAATGTGTGGCTGCATGATATTTTTAATTTGTGTTCACTTTGCTTTCTTTCAAGCATATAGAAAGACTATTGCTTGCAGAGGACAATCGTTACATGCCATATCATTTTTACTTGATGTTGGAGAGTAAAGACTTATTCACAGTAAAAGAGTATTAGAAAGGACAATGACATTAAATGGATACTTTGTATCTTTTTCTGGTGCTTTAAACTTGAAAATATGATTTAGTCATTTCTTTTATCAGATACCCCTGTTTACTTACTAAGTACAAAGAGTCACTTCTTGATTGAAAAACTGGATTCTTAAACATATTTGACACAGCTCTAGTTCTCCAAAATTCCTGGTTAAATTTGAAAATAACATGTTGCATGTCAAAGAGACAGTTATGCCATTATTGCTTGCTGATGCTAACGATTTTGTAGTTAGAATCTCAGATTTTGAATTTTCACTGGTGAGGCCAGTCTTTCTCTTCTATATCTTCTAGTAGATAAAACAGCCCACAGGTGATGTTAGTTATGAGTTTAGATGACATTGAATAGTTTATCGCTTTTTTTTAATGGTAACATAGTACCTTCAGATTTTTTTATTATGCATTGTTTAACATAGTTAAAGTATAGAAAGTCGCATGATTAAAGGAATCTGAATCCCATAATTAAGGGATTTCATAATCCGATAATTAAGGGAATCTATCCCCTATTTTGGGCCACTCAATCAGTATCACATTAGTCATATTATAGGAAATGAATTAGAATGAAATATTGTCAATAATTAATTTTCTTAGTTGTACAGCTTGTAATCAACCTATATATGTCTTCCTTTGTATATAGAAAAAATTAAATGAATGAGAAAAATTATATTCTTTTGTGTTCATGTTATCAATGCGTAGTTCTTATAGGAATCATTTTTCTTCTTTCTTTCGGCCTTAATTGCTGAAACTCTCTTCCTCTATTTTGCCACTCTTCGGATTAGCCCCAACCAAGGTTTACCCTATTGCGGTGTACTGCTTGGTACGGGTGATATGTATTGGTCCGACAAAGGACTGATATGGGTGGTATATTAGTATGCCTTTATGTATCATGTGTTGGTTCACTTAGTACAACTCGGTATGTTTTGTACCGACAGCTGGTTGATACATTGGTATGTACCGATAAAGCGAACCATGACCCCAATCAGTGATTTAAATAGGTGCCCAGGCGCTCGGGCGAGGCGAGTGCCGAGCACCTCATGGGTGGACCAGGCGGTACGCTTCAATGAGGCGCTACTTGGGCGCTCGCCCGAACCCAGGCGCTGAGCACCTTGGGCGAGCACTTGGTTCAATTAAAGCAATCGAACTAGACTTTTAAGTCTAGTTCGGTTTAATAGTGGTTAGTTGGTTCGATTGATCCAACTAACCAATTTCTTACCCTCAAAAGCCACCCTTGCATACCTGCGCGACCTCGAGCCAACCCTAGCACTGCTTCTGCCTTCATTGCCGACGCTTTCTGTAGCTGCTTCCACCACAGACGCAGTGGGCCGAGCCTTCCTCTGTCATTGACGGACGGGTCTGATGGCCAAGCAGGAGCTCGTAGCTTCCTTTCGCCGTCGATCCGTGTGCAGTTCCTTCCACTATTGAGGGAGAGGACCGCTGGTTCCTCCGCTACCGACGGACGCTCTTTGGAGCTTCCGCTGCTGTTGTTGTCTGCAACTACCATCGCTACCACTGCTGTTGCTGTCGTTCGCAGCGTTGTCGCGACTATCTTAAACTAATCCTCTATCGCTGTTGTGGCCATCCGTAGCTTCTTGCCGCTGCCTTCTCCTTCTTACTTTTCACTGTCGGTGACACTTTTATCCTCCTTTGTTACTGTTAACAGTTTTTTTCTCCCCCTCTAACTACTGTTAACAGTAAATAATTTACTGTTAACAGTAGATTGTTAATTATTGTACAAAGTAATCTTTCATTGCTAATCTTTGTTTATTTAAAATTATTATTAGAGTTTCTGGATAAATGACAAGTGTATAAAGCAATTCAGTAAATTCTTCAAAAAATTCAAGAAAGGATCTTGCCTAGAAATATAATTATCTAAAGGATCTTAAAGACCTTAATGCGGTTACTTGCATCTTTTGTGATAAGACATTAGAGGTGGTATTTTTCGTGACAAGCTACATATAGTAGGAAATTTGAAGAATGCATCAGCCTATAAGAAGTGTCCACTTGATGTAAAAGAAGAGCTGCTGGTTTATATGAATAAAAAAAAAAACAAAAGAATGAATTTTATGGGATTTTACTAGAGGATAGTGTTGAACATATCAGAGATGATGAAGAAGAAGATTATTCTGAAAGTGTCAATCTAAGTGGGAAAAGAGTATGTGATAGAAAAGGAAAAAAAAGCTATGATTGTTAAGAAGGATAAAAAGGGATCGATAGACCTATATATGTATCAAGGATCACAGAAGCAACAAGGACAAGCAGGAGCAAAATTAAGACACAAATATAAGGGCAAGCAAGAGCAATTCAACACATTGCTTGCTTCTTCTATCAGCTTGACCTTCCCTTTAGTACAACTCGTTTAGATAGTTTTAAGGAGATGATTTAAGCTGCTGGAAGATATGGTGCGAGATAAAAACCTCCAAGTTATTATGAGATGCAAGTTTCATTACTGAAAAAAGAGTTGGATTATACAAATGACTTATTAAAAGTCCACAAAGAATCATTGGTAAAGTATGGTTTCTCTATTATATTAGATGCTTGGACCTGCAAGAGACATAGGAGTATAGTTAATTTTATGATTTAATATTTAGGAACCATGTTTGTGAAGTTAATAGATACATCATCTTTTATGAAATTTGAAGAAAAGGTATATGATTTGCTTGACAAGTTTGTGGAAGAAATTTGATAAAAAAAATATCATCCAAGTTATAACCGATAATTCAAGCAACTATGTGTTAGCTGGTAAGATTTATCTTTTAAAATTTTTAATCTTTGAATTACTTTGTCTCCAATTTGAATGAAAGAATTATGTGACTTCTAAGTCCTATTAATTTTGTTATTCTTTATCTTTGGTAAATTACTTTAACACTTATATTGGACTCCATGTGCGGCACACATTAAATTGATTTAATATTAGAGAATATCATAAAGATTCTTAAAATCAAAAAGACTTTAGAAAGGGCAATTTTTATTGTTGGATTTTTCTATAATCATAATGGGGCTTTGATTATGATGAGAAAATTCACAGATAATAAGGAATTGGTGAGATATGGTGTCACCCGATTTGTTACTACTTCCTTCTTGATATTACAAAGCGTGTCTCGTCAAAAACATAACTCGAGAAACATATTTACCTTTGAGAAATGAGTGATAACTAAATGGGTAAAAGAAGCGAAAGGCAAGAAGGCCAATGATATCATCTTAATGTCGTCCTTTGTAATCTTGTATTTTATATATTAAAGGTAATGGGCCCTCTTGTTCGAGTCCTTCGGTTGGCGGATAATGAAAATAAACCTGCAATGAAATATATTTATGAGGCTATGAATAGAGCAAAGGAGACGATTCAAAAGTCTTTTATTGTAAATGAAGAAAAGTATAAGAAAATATTTGCAATCATTGACGAAAGTTGGAATTATCAACTTCATCGACCATTACATGCAGCAAGATATTAT